GTCCCAACAGCCACCGGGGTTCTCGTGGGAAAATATACACAAAGGCGTATCATTTATGAATGGATGCGATACTTCGCGTTCCAGGTGTTTGCATGTAAAAGGTTAAGACTGGTCAAACATACTACAACCCGGCCAACTTCATTGCAGCCCTTGAAACTATGCTGGTGAGAATTGAAACAATTAAAAACAAGAAACACTCCGTCCGACCACGTGTTACCCCCATTTTGATGGCGGACAACAACCCGATGTATTCCGCAGATTGAGTCAAAAGCTATGAAGGAACTGGTGGAAGACAACTAAGCTATAATCGGGTCGCCTAACAAGAGACGATCGACTGTCGTGATGAACCGTGAGACTAAAATGAGAACACTCAGGTTCTTCTTGATGATGGGAAAATTTACGCACTAGCACTGAAATCATGAGCCAAAATAGCATCACATAGACTGGCTAAACTACTTAGAGCATACTGCCGCGCGTATGTGATCACCAAGAATGATGGTCGCCAAAGGAAAGTAACTGATGCAGCTCTGAGGAGACTCTATGGTCTGCCAAAAATGCATGGGTAAATTATTGTACTAAGGCCAATGTTTGCCCTACGTATAACTCGGCAAAATAGACAAATACAAAACTGAAGTTCCTCCAGGCCAATTCATTCAGCTCAGCTCGATTATCCTCTTAGTTTCTGAAAGACCTTCGGGGTCGCACGATTTAACTGACTTCATTTTTCATATCCATCCTGCCGAATTTGACGTACAAAGTCTTGCTGAATCAGTGTTCTTTTCCAATTCGTCACCAGACGAACACAACACTCCAAGAATATAGTGAAAAGGGGACGTTTATTACAACGGAAACAAGGCATGTAAAAAGCGGAGCGGAGGGGAAAACTACTACAACTGTATCACGTATAACGGGGAGAACAAAGGGGGTAATAATATAACAGTTTCACTTCGGGAGCTCAGGTGTTGGGACTTTCACATCCTCCGCCCGCTCCGTATCGTTTGCACCTGAATTGTAGCA